CTTTTTGAAAATTTCTCAGAATAATAATCGAAATTTTTGGATTTTGAGCATCAAAAATTCAAAAATTTTAGAGAAAAAAACACAGGAATCTGAAAGTTTTGGTGAGGAACACATGGAGAAAAATATGTCTAAGACTACAAACTACAAAACTTTTGATTTTTTTTCGAAAAAAAAATGCTGAAAATTATGAAAATTGTGATTTTTTTCTGAAAATTTCAATTTCGCGCCCAATTTTTAGTTTTTTATAGCAATATTAGCGGCTTTTCCAATTCTTTTTTTCAATATAAAAATTCTTCGAAAAATTCCAATCATTTTCAGCCAAAATCCGACGAAAACGGTTGAAAACTAACCGAGATAACGCGATTTGAAATTTTACTGGGGCTTAGAACATTTTCTAGTTTGTAGTCGCTAAGCCTCAGTAAATCTGTGCTATTTTTAATGAGGCTAAGTGACTACAGACTAGATTTTTGGTTAAGCCTCAGGAAAACTTTATTTTGGCGTGTTTTCGACCGTTTTTTGCTGAAAATGGCTCAAATTCTTCGTAATTTTTTGCTAGAATACAAACTAAAAAATGTTCGATAAGCCTCAGTAAAAAAAGAGAGTGCACATTTGGAGAAGTTTCCCGCAAAAGGGTCCTATTCAGAAATTCATAAAAAGTGCGTACGAATCAAAGGGAGGTTTTCTGAAGGAGGGGACCTCTTCAGAAGAGCGACGAATTCAGAAGAATTCAGAAAAGAAGAAAAAATCTTGAAAATATTCTCAAAAGAAAAAAAAGAAAAAAAAGAAAAAAAAAACTGCAAGATAAAGGAAAAGATGGGCAGAAAAAAGGACACGAAGAAGAGCAATGAAATTAGTTTCAGCACGAAAAAAGGGAAAAAAAGAAGTACTTCTTTTTTTCACTGAAATACTTTTTTTTTTTAGAGAAAAAAGACATTCAAAATGCACAAAGAGCACAAAAGAGGGCTTTCAGGAAGTGCTCAGACAAGTTTCAGATGAAGCGTGACAAAATAGAAGGCGTTGTGCTTTGAAAATAGCTTAAAAATGGAGAAAAAAACGCTGAAAATGGCGAGAAAATTTGAATTTCCCCGCGCGCAATTTCAGTGGAGCGCGCTTGCTGAAAACTCGAAAAAATGATTTTTAGAGCTTTTATAAAGTTTTTTAATGGAAAAATCGGCAAAAATCGAAAATTGCAAAGGGAAAAATGACCGAAAAATGAATATCAATGAAAAAATCTCTCAGTTTTTTTCGGCTAAAAATTCCAAAAAGCGGCTGAAAATGAGAATTTCAGATTAGTTTTTTCTCGTGTCTTTTTGGCATTTTTGCACTTTTTTCCGGAGAAAGATTTAAAAATTGGCGCGAGTAAGAATAATTAGTTTTCTTTTTAAAGAAAATCGAGAAATTGAGGATTTTCCAGTGGTTTTAACTGGAAAACCGATAAAAATAAAAATTTTCTCTGAAAATCTGGAAAATATTGTGATTTTTTTTTAGAAAAATTGACAAAAATTTCGAAATTTGCGCGCGCGCTTTTCAGTGGAGCGCACTTGGTGAAAACTTTGAAAAATCGGGATTTTCAGCGATTAATGATAAAAACATGGATTAATAAAGGATTTTTACAGTATTTTCAGCTGGAAAATCAATAAAAATTGAGATTCGCTCTGAAAATTATTCAAAACACCACATTTTTTTTCCAAAATTCAAAAATCCAAAAATTCAAAAATCCAATTCCAAACAAAGAAAAAAGGCAATAAATCTTGCTCAAAGAGAAAAGTGCTCTCTCTAATTTTGGTGTCCTCCTCCTAAGCTCCGCCCACTTTCTCTTCATGGCTCGGGCTTTTCCGTTTCCGTCCACCTGTCCGCGCTGGTCATAATTATCCTTTTTCTCTTTTTATATGCGTCCAGATTTATAGGGGATAGGGGACACCAGATGACCATTTGGGTTGGGAGTGGAAAAGGGTAGAATTCTAGAAAATTCTAAAATATGGGGGGAGCGGGAAACGTCCTAAAAATGGAGTTGGAGTCTGTAGCTCGGCTGTCAAGTTTCCGATCGGTTTGAAACTTTTGGAGGGTGTAAAATAGACCTAGATCGAAAACTTTGCATTCTCAGAATTTCTCGAAAATTCCTAACTTTCAAATATTTGCCGCAACCCATTTTTAGCCAGTTTTTGTACTGAAAATAGGCCAGAAATGGTTTCAGAAATCGGAAAAAAAAGTAATTTTCAAAAATGTCTGTGAATGCAAATTTTTCCATTTAGGTCTGTTCTAGGCCCTCCTAAAAATACTGAAAATGCGTTTTTGTATATCTAATTGGGGGATACTGTAGCTAATTGCGGGAGTTCGAAGCCTGCCTTTGGGGTCCAGAATGTTCTAAACTAGAAAATTTCCGTTTCTCTGATATAGCGAGTCTAGATTGTTCTAGAACGAGATGGGCAAAAAAAGAGAGCCAACTCTGAAGCCAGACTAAAAGGTTTCAAGCCTCCTACAGACACAGCTTGGCTGGTCTTGAAAATACGGATATCTTGAATGGATCTCAAAGGTTTTAATCTAGAAAATTTTCATTCTTTGATGCTTACAGAGGATCTCTTTGATGTTTACAGAGGAATTTTCCAGAACAGACTAGGTCCATAAGGACCAGAAAAGGGCCAGTAAAACTAGCAAAACGTCTAAAGTCATCCAAAAGAACAGAAGGTTGGCCCCCACCAAAGTTCCGCCTCCCCGTCACTTTGAACTACATGACACTTCGAAACCNTCATTTCAAAAACGAGAAAAACACGGCACTTGAAAAAGAAAATAAAAATGGAAAATTTCGTCTTANAATGAAGAAANAATTTGAAGGTGAAAATTCGCAGTTTCCAATGACTGGTTTCGAAACGACCGGTTTCGAAATCACCGGTTTCGAATTGACTGGTTTCGAAGTGTCACGTAGTTTCGAAATGACCGGTTTCGAAATGACTGGTTTCGAAGTGACGCGGAGCCGAAAATTCGAACCTAGACATTTTTAGGAACCAAAAATTGTGGTCAACATTTTAGGTCCAAAAATGTAAGCGCTCGAAGATTCAAATCTAGAATTTTTGAAACCAAAAGTTTAGGTCCAAAACAAGAGTATGTTGGTCCAAGGGGACTTTAAGGACTCCTCCTTTCCTCTCGTCTGAAACATTTTGCCAATTGTTTGGTTGGAAAAGCATGTGTGTGTGTGTGTCTTTTTGACAGAGAGAAGTCACACAGAAACTCTTTCTTTTCCTTCCTTTTCTTTTCTTTTGTTGGGCTCTTCTTTTCCGCGGAAAACGAGTCTTGAAGGCTCCCAGGGACCTCTGAAACCCCCCTCCTTCCTCTCTTTTCTCTGAAACTCTTTGAGAAGAGACGCAGACAGTTTATTTGGTTGGTCCCATCGGAAAGAGAGAGAGAGACAGAGAAAAGGACATGTTGAAATGTTGTTTGAAAGAATTAGAGAGTGTATGAAATCGAGAGAGTGGGGTTAGAGAAATCGGGACTGCTGGAAATTTAGTGAGAGTAGTTTTCGGGGGTCCGCGTGGAGTCTTTCGGGTGAACTTCGGGGTCGAATCGAATGGGGACTAAGGAGGAGGACCACTGAAAAAGAGAATTTTCGAGGAATGGAAGGTTTCAGAAAATTTTCTCGATTCTGGTCCACTAGTGTCTTCTGGAATTTCCGAATTTTGTGAATTTTGAATTTCGCAATTTTTTAGATTCGAGTTCCGAATTCTGGAAATTCCGAAAATTGAAATTTCATGGAAAATGTTTTCTGGAAATTCTTCTGCAGAATTTTCGAATTTTCCAAATCTAGTAGTTTTGAAATTTCGAATTTTGGACAACACTTTTTTAGGACTTTAGAAAAATTTGAAAAAAAGAAAAACAAGAAATTCTGGATACCTGGATTAGAAGGGCCCCTCTAATAAATGGGCCCTCCGAGGGAGGGGGGCTTGGAAAAATAGGGGGCCTCTGTAATAGAAGGACCCTCTGTGAAAAAGGACCCCCTTCAAAATGTGTTTTGAAATCAGAAAATTTCAGTACTATTTCAGTGGAAAATATTCCGGGAACTCCACAATTTAATAGAAATTTGCTGAAACTCTATTTTTCGATGAAAATCTAGCTAAAGTTTGGTGAAATTGGCAGATTTTCATGAATTTTGAAAGTAACTTCGTCGAATTTTTCGATGCGAAATTTCGGGAAAAAAAACCGGCCGGAAAAATAGAAGGGCCCCCTCTAATTGAAGGGCCCCTGTAATAGAAGGGCCCTCCGGAGGTACCTTAGAACAATAAAAGGGCCGGCCCTTCTAATACAGGTTTTACGGTATTTGAGATTTCGAGATTTTTGGAAACACTCAAATTCTTAGGAGTTTTCTAATTTTAAGACAGACTGGGAGGGGATTCAGATTGTGGGAAAACTGTAATTTTTGGATTTCGAAAAAAAAATGAAATTCTGATAAATTCTGATTTTTGAACTTTTTTTTTCAGAAAATCCGAAAATTTTTGAAATTTCAGTTTTTTTTTCAATATATTTTCTTTCAGATTCTGTTTCTGAAGTTTCAGAAGATGTTTCTAAATCGTAGGAATTTGAATCACTCAAATTTCCCAAAAATTGCAATTTTGAGATTCTGAAAACCTGCTAAACCAAGAATCCGTCTTTTGCAGTTCACCAACTTCCACGTGGCATATCTCCCCAGGACTTGATTTTCAGCAAAAAGTGTCAACTACAAAAATGAAGCCCGTGTCTTGTTTAGTATATTCTGAGAGTTTCAGATAAATCTGAAAATTTTAAGCCTGTTTTCTGAAACTCTGAAAATATTGATCCCAAAAAAACGTCAGAAATTCGGAACCCGATTACACTAACAAGAAAATAAAAAAGTCTGCGTCTCTTATTCTCGAACACTATTATTATTAGAGAAAAATAAGGAAAAATGACAAGAAATTCGTCAGTTTTTCTAGAAAAATTGAAAAGTGGACATCTGGACAAACAGATTCATTGGGGGAATATTTTTTAAAAATTCAATTTCGAGGTAGAATCGTAGTGTTTGGAGATATCCGAACAGTTGTCGCTTCCACTGGAATTGTGTAGAGAAATGGCTTGGAGCTGCAAAAAACTAAAATTCTCAAAAAAAAAAAAATTTTTTCAAAAATTTCAAAAAATATTTTTTTTCCAAAACCTCACAAATTTTCAAATTTCTCAACTATCAAACTTCGAAATCGTCGATTTGATAGAATTAAGACTGTTGAAGAGACCATTGAATGTGCAGCCATCACGAACAAAGTGTTTGTGGCGATTTCTGGAAATTTCGATTTATTGAAAACCTGTCATAGAAGGGTCCCACCCCCCCCCCCCCTCACACTAGCAAGTTTGAGCTCAATTATCTCAGTTCCTGTACGAGATATCAAAAATGTGTCAACTGATAAAATGTTTGTGATATTATGATAAACATTTTATCAGTTGACCACTTTTTGATACCTATTACAGTAACCAAGATAAATTGGCTCAAAGTTAAGGAGCTCTTGTTTATACAGTACCTTGAAATTGCCACCAATCATTGTAGACCACTAGGAAAATGAAATTGAACGGGATTATAATACAAACTGTTGGGATAAGACTCTGAAAAAAAATTTTGGGCTACAAACTACAAAAATTTCGAAGCCTCAGTAAAAGTTAAATTTTTTGAGAAAAAAAATCATTTTTCTTGATTTTCTCTTATTTTTTAAAAACTCGTTAAATTGATGATTTTGAGGAAAATTCGGTAAATTCCACTAAGTTGAAAATCTGAATTTTCGAGAAAATTTGAAAAAAATCGAAAAAAAAAGTTTGAAAAACTCAATTCTTCCTGAGACTTATAGAATTTTGTAGTTTGTAGTCCCTAACCTTAAAAATTCTATAAAAAATTCCCGTCATTTTCATCTAAAAATCAAGAAAAACGGTCAAAGACTGACCGAGATAGCGCGATTTGAAGTTTTACTGAGGCTTAGCGACTACAAACTACAAAAGTCTCTAAGCCTCAGTAAAAAACTTGAAATCGCGCTGTCTCGGCTAGTTCTTAACCGTTTTTCTTGATTTTTGGCTCAAAATTTTACAATTTTTTGCAGATTGTTTGAAAACTACAAACTACAAAAAACCTGTAATCCCAAATTAATCATAGCAGTTCTATGAACGGCATATGTCTGCCGGGAAAGATGGAATCGAACTTTTTGAAGTATATACATAGTGTGGATGCCTAGAAATGCGCCAAATCTGAAATTATTGATTTTTTTTCAATTTTTGGAGTACTGTAGTCTAGAAAACGCCTACAATGAGAATATGGAAATGTAGGCCAAGGCAGCTATCCCAACAGCAGCGCTCCAGAAGTTGCCACTTGGATCGTAGATGACAAATCCCTCATTTTCAAACACATGCATGCATTTTGGCCAGTCCTACAAACTACAAACTACAAAACCATTTGTGTAGGTTATAGTTACCGTAGCCACAATTTTCAGCATTTCCTGATGGCTTAACCCAGATTCTAATAGGCAAAAAGCTATGACAAATGGAAATGTGTGACACGTGGCAATGACCGAGTTTATGAAATATCGATTTAATTTGAATTTCTGAAAAGAAAGGGAGTTTTGGTGGCCTAGAATTTTCTAGGCCACCTGATCCAAGTCGGCCGCCGCGTTTTGGCGATAAATGAAGCATAGTAGGAGACTGGGAAGCTCGAAACAGAACTTGAAAGCGCCAAAAACCTAGAATATTTTGGTTTTTATGAGATTTCGATATTTTGAATTTAGAAAAAAACAAATTTTCAAACAAATTTTTTTTCCAAAATTTTAAAATTTTCTTCCTTCAGATAAGAAAAAATGCAAAAATTAAGAAAAATTTTTTTTTTTTAAATTATGAACATTTTGAAACATTTTGAAAATTAAAAATTTTTGTAAAAAAATTTTTGTAATGTTTTCAAAATTATTTGATTTTGACAAAAAATTTTTTTTAATGTTTCGAAACAATTTTTTTGGAAAAAATTTTTTCAAACCGAAACTACAGTAATCCCCAACAGAGCTACCGTATTCTGATGTCCAGAAAAAATTTTACTGGTTATTGCAATATTATATCCTCCCATCATTGGAAATAAATAATAACCCGGGCATACCCAAGACATGTCAATTTCCACAAAAAATGCGACAATCTGAAAATGTAGTTTGTAGTTTGTAGTCTGAACTACAAACTACAAACCTGCACATACAGTAAACAATACCGGAATTTCGAGTCCTTTGGTGTATGAAACCAAACCAGATAGATGCACAAAAAGTTAATTGGCACCGAGAAAAATCCAATAGAATGTAAAATTGTCAAATAGTAATTAGGTGGTCCTGCCGGACATTGCCACGTGGCAGAAGGCATCGTTTTGTAGTTTGTAGTTTTAGAAAAAAAATTATCCTGAAAATTAGAAGAATTTTGAGCCAAAAATCAAGAAAAACGAGTGAAAACTAGCGGAGATAGCGCGATTTGAGTTTTTTACTGAGGCTTAGAAAATTTTGTAGTTTGTAGTCACTTAGCCTCAGTAAAAATGGCAGAGGTTTACTGAAGGTTAATGGCTACAAACTACAAAAAAACTCTGAGCCTCAGTAAAAATGGAGTTGTTCGGAAATTTTTTTCGAAAATGTTTTGTAGTTTGTAGCCTCATTAGCGTCAGTAAACCACAAAGAATACAAACTACAAAAATTTCTAAGCCTCAGTAAAAAAAATGAAATTCGCTAATTTTTAGAAAAATCTCTATTTTTGATTTTTGAAAATTTTGAAAATATCACAATTGAAATTTTTTTAGTTTGTAGTTTCATTAGCCTCAGTGAACGCAAAGACTACAAACTACAAAAATTGTTAAACCTCAGTAAAAAAACAGCTAGAAATTTTGTTGAAAATTTGAATTTTTGAAAAATATGAAAAATCAGGGAAAATTAAATTTTTGAAAATATTTTTAAAAAATATCAAAAATCAAAATTTTATTTTTTCGATTTTTGGGCTCTGAAAATGGCTGAAAATGGCTGAAAATGGCTAAAAATGAGCAATAAAACAGATGTGAAATTATACACTTGGGTGGTTGTCACCTGCTTTTCGTTACCTGGAACTTAATTTAATTTTGGAGACAAAAAATTTAATTTGGCGGGTTTTTGATTTTTGATCTACCGATTTTTTGGGTAACGAAGTTCTTAAAAAATTGAAAAAAAATTTCGAAATTTTGAATTTTCCTCAAATTTCAACAGTTTTCTAATTCCAAAAAACACTACCGTATTCTTAAAGTTCGTCAATTTTGTTTTTCGAAAAATTCTATTTTTTTCGATGATTCCTAGCGATTTTACAACGAAAAATCGAGTTTTAATCTGCATTGTAACCCAAAAATTCAAGTTTCGCGCGTCGTCTCGTCCACGAGGAGTACAAAATCTGAAATTGAATTTCAATGATTTTGATTCGTTTTTCACCGATTTTTTATTTGAAAAATGTCAAAAAAATTTCAAAGAGTTCACTAAATTTTCCCATGTCTGTATGTGTGTCTGCCGTCTCTTCAGAAAAATGGATCTCTCAATTTGATAGGCATCGCCTGGATTCCATCATCCTTACAAATCAACACTGACACGCATTCCGATGATTGCTTCTCGTCAGTTTGAAAATTATAGACACGCCCATTCTCGTGATGAAAAATCACTACGGTATGGAATTTCCACGGTGTCCCAAGTGCTGAAATAAAAAGACTACAAACTACAAAAATTGAAATTTCAGTGAAAATTTTTTTTTTTTTGAAAATTCAAAAATCAAAATTTTCGAAACTCACCAGAAATTTATGACAAACATTTTAAGGAAAATTTTGGCAAGACTACAAAGACTACAAAGACTACAAAGACTACAAACTACAAAAATTCAGGGTAATTCCTTTTTGAAAATTCTCCAATTTTTAGTTTTTTCAAAAAAAAATTTTTTTGAAAAAATTGAATTTTCAAAATTTTCAAAAACAGGAGACTACAAATACTACAAAGACTATAAAAACTACAAAAACTACAAACTACGAAAACTCGGTTTTTTTGGAAAAGTCTCCAATTTTTTTTTCAAAAAAAACATATTTTTTGAAAAAAATTGAATTAAAAAAAAACCAAAGACTACAAAGACTATAAAGACTACAAAGACTACAAAACACCAACGCTCTTTGTTTCCATCGTAATGAATTTCGAAGTTGGTCAGTGGTCCCAATGATGGCTGATTGGTCATCACAAACATGTCGGTCTGGAAATTTGGAAATTTCGAAAAAAAGTTTTTTTCGAATTTTTAAGAATTTCCAAAAAAAGTTTTTCCAAAAAACTCACATGTCCCTTCTGAAAAGGAGTCGAATGTGTATGGGAGTATCTCAATGCCTGCTTATCAGTAGCCCGTCCCTCATCATCTCTTATCATCACTGATATCTTCTCAACGGGTCCATCGGAACACGAATTGGATGAAGTACGAATTAGAATTGTAAAAGATGCTGGAGTGTCATCTTCATCATATTTACTACGAATTGATGATCCCATTTCTTTCAATGGCTCCGTCATTGTTTTTGGGATTTTTGAAATTTTCGAAAAAATTGAAAAATTCAAAAATTGGCGGGCTTTAAATTAAAAATGAGTGGTTTTCAGTGGAATTTGAGACTCCAATTTTTTTTTCGAAATCAAAAATTGGGAAATTTAAAGAAATTGACGTTAAAGTCACTAAAAAAATTTTTTTCAAAGATTAAAGGCCTAAATTTCAGGTATCGTAGAAGAAGGCGCCTCTGGCCCCCACCCCCACATACGTTTAACTTTGAGCTATTTTATCCGGGTTACTGTAAGAAATATTAAAAATATGTCAACAGACAAGCTGACATTATGGTAAACATTTTATCAGTTGACACTTTTTTGATATCTTTTACAAGAATTGAGATAAATATGCTCAAAGGGACAGGTGCCCCCCGCCCCCCTGTCCCTCACACCTCGGGAGGTCCAGTTACTTTAAGTCAATTTATTTCGGTTCTTGTAAAAGATATCAAAATGACGTCAACTGATAAATATTTCTGATATTATGATAAACAATTTATCAGTTGATGACTTTTTCATATCTTCAACAAGAATTGAGATAACTTGGCTCGAAGTTGAAAGTTAGGGCCCCCAAGTTGAGCGAAGTCAATAGGCGGAGTCTGAATTGCGTGGGCGGATCCAACTTCCGGAAAAATCAACACAGATCACTTTCAAAAATCGGTAGATCAAAAAAAACCAAAATGTGACGAGTATGATCATAAAGTTCCTTTAGCAGCAAACCCTTTTTTAGTATTGTTTCCGTTTTTTTCCAAAAATTCGAAGCGGGAATAAAAATGCGCTCGGAAGCAGCGGAAAGGTGTTGGAACGCAAAAATGAAATCGAAAATTTTGATATTTTTGTGTTTTTCGATTCTTCTAGGGTCCCTGGATGCTCGTTTCTCTTCAAGTAGCAGTGAATCTTGTGAAGGTGAAAAAATTTTGAAATTTTAGAGATTTCAAATTTTGGAGCCCTGAAAACCTAGCTGAAACATTTTTAATTTTATTGAAAATTTGAGAGTATACTAAACAAAACAAGGGCTACATTTTTGTAATTAACACTTTTAGCTAAAAATCAAGTCCTGGGAAGATATGCCACGTGGAAGTGCCCTTCCCTGGGGCGCTCCATCCTGGTCGTTGGGTGCCCACTTCGCCATCTCAAAATCTAGCTTAAATTTTTTCAATTGTTCGGAAAATTTCAGAATATACTAAAAAAGTCATAGGCTTCATTTTTGTAGTTGACAACTTTTTTCAAAAATCAGCTCCTGAGGAGATATAAATGTTTTCAGATGACGATGGTCATCATCACCACGGAGGAGGTGGACACCATGGTGGTGGAGGAGGTGGTGGTGGTAACAATGGAGGCGGAGGGAATAACGTAAGTTGTAGTTTGTAGTTCGTAGTCAATGTAGTGTTTGTAGCGTGGCTGTGGATCGGGTTGGCAACGATTCCGTCGTCCACAAGGGGACTGGTGTATGAGAGTGTATGCCGGAGGAGACAGTCAAGCAGAAGCCGACACTAGATGTCGTGCTCAAGGAGGCGTCGTCAGTGGAGTTCAGAATCAAGCAGAGGCAAATGCTGTTGGAAGTAAGAATTTGTTTTTGATTGTAGTTTGTAGTGTTTATTGCTTGAGAAAAATTGGTGCAACTTGCCGCTAACTAGGTTCGGGCAAAGTTGAGGGAGGTAGAAGAAGACAACATGTTTAGCGCCCTGCAAAAGAAATTAGAACATTTTGGATTTGTCTGAAAATTTCTGAATATACTAAACAAGACTAGAGCTTTATTTTTGTCGTTCACCACTTTTTTGAAAAATTAAGTTCTGAAGAGATACGCCACGTGGAAGTGCTTTTTTCCATGGTTGCTTCCTCCTGGCAGGTGGGCGCCTAAAGGTAACTTCGGCTGTCTGAAAATCTAGCTCAAATTTGTTCGATTTTGCTGAAATTTTCAGAGTATGCTAAACAAGTCTAGAGCTTCACTTTTGTAGTTGACATTTTTTTTCGAAAAATCAGTCCCTGAGGAGATACGCCACGTGGAAGTGAGATTGGCGCTCCCTCCTGGTAGTTGCACTCTGTGGCTAGAGTAACTTTAACGTTAATTATCTCGGCTTAGGGTAAAGATACAAAAAAGTAGTTAACTAGTAAAATGTGTAAAATTGAATTTGGCAACATTTTTGTATCTCTAACCATAGTTGAGATAATTGGAGTCAAACTAGAGCGTCGGGAATTACCCCTTGACGCACTACCGGATGTTTACCACCTCGTCTTTCGAATTAAACGGAAAAAAATTCCAAAATTTTTCAGGAATGGGCGTGGGCATCCTGGCATCCAACCAGGCGTCCGGCTCCATCAGAATCGGTCTCAGAAGGCGTGACGCTTGTGCGACGTCTCCAATTTCTTCCTCCTGTAACTCGATGAACTCATTCTGGTGGTCAGATAGATTCACAACTGGAACCGACGGTCTTCTCTGGAATCGTAATCAACCGGATAATGCTCACGGAGCCACTCAACAGTGTGTGGTGCTCTTCGCCTCCAGGACAGCTACCATAACCGATAACTGGACGTGGCAGGCGAATCGTCTGGATGATGTTGGATGTGATAGAGTGGCTGGAAATACTCCAAGACAAGTTCGAGGAGTTTTGTGTGGGAAGAGACCGAATAATTGATCTTTTTATTGGGAAATAAAGTATACTCTTTGTTAAAGAGGCATGACATAATTCAGTTTAAAGTTGAGGGCGATTTGGAACTTATTTTGTAAATTTTCTGGCCATGTCTCTTTTCCTGATTTCAGATTCCAGAACCGCTGGCTTCACGTTTTCCTCCAGCCAATGCTTCATTGATTCAAAGTCTGAAAAATGAACCGAATACAAACAAATTATATATTATTTTGAAGCTCTTTTCAAGACCTACATTATACATTTCAAATTTTTTGAAAATCTTAAATTTGAAATGAGTTACAAGTTTTAGAAGCAAGGTGCTCTGAGCGATCCTCATCAGGTTAGCTGTAATCATCAATTTCCTCTGTCCTATCAAAAACAAGACATATGATGTTGTATATTATTTTGCAGCTGTTTTGTAGCCACACATTTTGCAATTTAGATTTTTTAAAAATATCGACGATGAGCTGAGTTATAAGCTCTTGAAGTTTGATTACCTAAAACTTGTGATCCGTCGGGCTAGGTGAGGTTTAGTGGCTCCCCCTCTACTAGTGAGAAATTTAGTCTAATTGAATGTTATATTATTTTAAGGCTCTTCTAAAAACCCGCTTGATACAATTTGAATTTTTTGAAAATCTTGATTTTGAGACAAGATAGAAGCTTAAAACTCACTGATCCCATTTTCAAACCTCATTGGCTGCAGTTCCACTGACGACTCCTCGACCTTTGCCTTTCTCCTATGACGGATGCGCTTCGGCTTCTTCGGAGGTGACTGAGACGTAGATGATGCCATCGACAATGAAGACGTCCCTCTCGAGAAGACACGCTTCCTAGAGCCATGGTCTTCGATATTTGTTGTTGGATCCTCAATACCGTAATCCTGGAACTCATCCGATGAAGAAGAGACGGATCCGGTCGCAGAATGGATTCGGTGATAAGGATCGAATGGGATGGCTCGAACCGGGCGGTATAGATCCTGATAGCTTCCAGACGATCCGGATAAATTTTGGATGTGCTGCTGCTGGTGGTGGTAGGAATTCTGATGATAACTTGAAACGACAGGGAAATAAGAGGTGCTAGATAGTCCGGGATCACTGTAGAGCTGCTGAACGGGTTTCTGGCATCTGGAGGCTTGTCCTTGCCTATGTTGGTTGCTAGATACTCCGGGTTGGTTGTGGAGCTGCTGACCCAGATTCTGGCACCTGGGTCCTTCGTTCTGTCTAGTTTCGCTTTGAGACTGCTCAACTATGGCAGCTGATGATCCCCAGTAAATTCCAAGATGTTGATTTGGCGCAAAATTCAAATTTCTCATAGATTTATCTAGACTTTGAGATATCTCGCAGCCATGTAACGATTTTTGTTTACACTGTGCCAAGTTGGATGGATTGCAGACGCTCATTGCCTTCTGAACAATTGTCATTGTCGCCGCTGACTCGCAGTGCATTCCCGGGAATTGAGCAATTTTAGAAGTGAATGGAGCTCTTGGCTGGGCTCGAACCTTTGACCGGGTAATTTTTACCGGGCTCCGAGGTGGACATGTCTCAATTGGATGGTCCCGGTGGGTTGGCGCAGATGATCTAGGTTGGATGGAAGACTGATAGATCATCTCGCTTCCTGGAATGCTTCCTGATGGCTGTTTCTAAAACGAAAACTTAAGATTTGACGTTTTTATCAGCAATTAGTACCTGTCTATGAGCAAATTTGGCCTGCTGGCTGGCTTTCTGGCTTCTAGCCATCTGAAATGGTTCCTGGTGTGCTTCCTGTGCTCTATAATCCATAGACTGGCCAAATCGGTCTCCAGCACATGTGCTGATAGTTCGTGATAGCTCATTACTCTTCTTGACAACCGATTGGGATGGTTGAAGACAAGAGGAAGCTCCTGGTAGATGGTTCAAGTTCTTGAGCCACTTTGGAGGGTATGGAATGGCTGCTGAGTAGTTGGGAGGGACTTTAGATCGTCTTCGGTAACTTGGGAGCAGTGGTTGGCCTTGGAGAAGCCCCGATGTTTCTTTTGTCAGTTTGGTTTTCAAGTTTCTAGACGAGCTTGCTGTCAAGGCTCTAGGCTTCTTCAAAATGTGCGGAACTCCTCGGGATCTTTGAACAGGCACCTCTGGGCGATCTTCAAATTCTTCTCTAGATTTTGGGACCTCTGGGAGTCGAAAATCCGGTTCCTCCTCCCGATCTCTGTTCCACATCTCGTCTGCAGTTTCATTCCTTGTTCGGTCCAGATCTAGGGTCTCAATTTCATCATCCTCGTCGAAAAACGAAGAACCGATGAGGGAGGTAAGAGTTGGGAAGCAAATTTTCTGGAAATTTTGAGTGGATGATTCAGGGGTGCTTTTGGTGGCCTAGAATAAGCCGTAGATGACCTAGAACTCCAAAAACCGGGACTCTAGATTTCAAAAAATGACCAAGAATGCCAAAAACCGAGACTAGAACCTCCAAAAGAGAGGTTAGGATCCTAAAAATGCCCTAGATTTGAGAGTAGCAAGGACTAGGATTTCATGGACCAACAGAAAACCGGAAATAAGGAATCTTGCGGACCATCATAATCTGTCCCGCCCCCTTCTTCAGATAATTAGTACGAAATAATGAGAGACACCTGTCCCATCTGCCAGATGGATTAAGAAAGGGGGTACAAAGAGAACTATGCACCTGAGTGATACGATCTAATAGGGGGAATACTAATAATTAAAGGATTTAGCATAGATCAAACGAGCAAGGTTTTAGAGCAATTATGGTTTACAGGAAGCTAGAAAATCAAAGAAGAGTATCTAGAATTTAGAGAGAAATGAGCTAGAAAAAAACTAGAAAATCGTAAGCCAGAGGGTCCAAAACTAATAGAAAATCAAAGTTCGGCAAAATTGCTAAACCTTGAGCCTATCCAAACAGCCCGAGACAAACTATGGTTCCAAAAATGCATGGGCCGGTTCCGCCGACCCATGTGCTTTACGGCTTCTAGCTCAAAAACTGGGTTGGCAAATATAATCGAATTAGGTATCACTTTGTAGATCTCATTGTGTTCTACATTTTCATGTTTTGATTTGAACAGGAATATTGAGTTTGAGTCGAGTTATGCTCGGTTTAAAACCATAAGCAAGAAAGTCTAAACACTCTAACACAAGGCCACTCAAACCGTCAACTTTAAGCTAATATCTCGTTTCCTGTAAGAGTAATCAAAATGTGTTTAAATAACAAACTATTTGTGATATTATGATAAACATTATGTTAGTTTACGATTTTTTCATAGTTTTCACACGAAACGAGATAAATGAGGTCAAAGTAATCGGACTTCCCAAAGTGAGAAAGAAAAGGGGGCTGTCCCTTTCAGCGTATATATCTCATTTCCTGTGAACGATATCAAAAAGTGATTAACTAACAAAATGTTTAATATGAATTTGCAAATATTTCATTAGTTGACTACTTTTTGATATCTTTCACATGAATTGAGATAAATGGGCTTGAACCTTGAAAGCCGGCGATTTGGGTGATGATGTATTAGGGTGTCTACGGTAACCCCAATGAACCTTGGAAAACAGAAAAGGCCTTCAGAAATTCTCATTAATGGACCCACCTGGAGAAAATTGTGCAGAAAACAGTTACTGAATCATTTCTCTGTGTCTCTTGATTCCTCAGACTCTTTCGCTCATTCTGCTCTTCCAATACTTCCAATCCATGCTTTCTCGGGACCACTAGCGTCTAGGTAAGACATCCTAATCTTTTCTCTGCCTCTCCCAGCTTTCTTGTATTTCTCGTCTCCTTCTTGCAGATTGGTCATTATATTTGCAGATGGTCTCTCCTTAGTCAGGTTAGGAGGAAATGGGAAGAGTAATATGCTTCGAAAGGGTCCAGGAAGAGCCAGAGGTGTTCGGAGGGGCTGAAATGCTAAAATAAGAGGTCTGGAATGTTCTAGAGGGTTTAAAAAAACTATCAGGCACCCGGAAGTTCCAAAATTTTCTGGAAAGTTCTAAACTTTGTTCCAGGAAGCACTAGAACGTTCCAAAATGCTCAATTGAGTTCCAGGAGACTGCAAAAGGTTCCAGAATCTTCTTAGCAGTTTCAGGAATCTCTAAAATCTTCCAAACAAAAAAAACCGATAAAAGTTCTAGAAAAGTCCCAAATGTTCCGGAAGATTCCAAAAAATGGTATTTATGCCTAAAATGATTCAGGAAATTCCAGAAGATTCTAAAAAGTCTCAGAATGTTCCAAATTAAACATTTCGAATTTGTTCAAAGTATGGGGTTTCTAAAATTTACCAAATTGTGTCTCTAGTTTCTTCCGGATCCTTTTTTTTCCAAAAAAAACCCATCTGCAAAAAATTTTCCGCAGCAAAAAACCCATTTTATGATCCTTCACCAAAAAAAAATTTTTTTTTTAATGATTTTTCTTTTTTTTTATGATCCTTCTTCAAAAACTTTTTTCTATAAAAACCCGAAAAAATGTTCCATTTCCCATTTCTGCAGGAATCTCTGAAAATGAGAAGCTTGAATATTCTTCTATTGGCTCTTCTGGTCGGTGTCGTCGTTTCTCAGAGAAGTAAGGCATTAGGTGGTTAGGCGGAAATTCGAAAAATTCAAAATTTTGAATTTTCAGACAGATACAGTGGTGGCGGTAGAGGAAATGGAGGCGGAAGATGGAATGATAATAACGGGAATAGTAATAGGGTGAGCCAGTAGACTACAAACTACACTTTCTGTAGTCACATCTCAATTCCTCTGTAACTCATCTCAAAATCATCGGAGAAAACTCATTGTGACACCAAATTTTGTCAAATTTTGTGTATTTTCTAGTCCAGTTTTTGTAGTTTTTAGTTTTTTGTAGGGATGTGGCTCTGGATGGCAAAGATTCAACCGACCATCCGGTGGATGGTGCATCAAGGTCTTCCGAGGGGAACACACACAATCTGGAGCCGAATCCAGATGTCAAAATGTTGGAGCCAGATTGACAGGAGTACAAAGTCAATCCGAGATTCAATATATTACAAGTGAGATTTGTAGTTTTTGTAGTCTCTAAGCCTCAGTAAAGCTTTTAAAAAGGTGGTTCATAGTCACCAGGCGGCGCTAAATGATATCGGGGCTGCAAAAGCGTCATAACATTCACCAAATTTGTTATTTCTGAATAAGCTAAACTGAAAAAAATAGGCCTTAAAAAGTTCTACAAATTAATATAAATTTTGTTTATGTTAACACTATTCTAGACTTGGTCAGGGACCGTCAAACAGTAGGGGGATAAGTACACCGTACTTTGCAATGGGCCCTAATCATATATTGTAACTTTCTTCAGATCCAAAGTTTTGAAATGATCTAAAATGCAAAATATAGTTATTAAAAAGTGCTGAAAATTGATATAAAACAAAATAGCTTGTACAGATGCTTCGATTACTACAAGCCCGTATAACAATAAGAGTGCGATACTTCACAAAGGGGACACTAGTCACATAACGGTTTGTAGCTTCCTTCAAACTCAATATTTCAAATCAAACTAAACTGAAAAATGTAGTTCTTGAAAATTTCTCCAAAGGTACTAAACATTCATTTGTTTCAAACTTATTTAGACTTGATCAGGACCCGTCATACAGTAGGGGGCTTGGTACACCGTTATTACCAGGATACACTAGTTACAGGTTATAACTTCCTTCAAACTTCAAATTTTTTCGAAAATCCAAACTTTACAATGTAGATCGTGAGAAGCTTTATTTGAAACACCTACTCACAATAGTTTTCAGGATCCGCCTTAAATCTAATCTCCCAATCCAGTGGATCCGTCTGGTTGGGTGCCCGTAGAACGTCTCAATGCAGCACGTCCAAACTCTCCACATCCTGCAGTTCCATGAATTCATTCCGTTGGACCGATGGCTCCACAACTGGAACCGCTGGACTCATCTGGAACACAAATCAACCGGATAATGCACATGCTCAGCAACAACAGTGTATGGTTGTGTTGGCAACACGTGGATCATCGGTTACCGATCAATGGACATGGTATGGGAACCGATTGGACGATGTGAACTGTGCTGGAAATGTTGGAGAGAACGCAGTGAGAACGATTCGAGCATATGCTTGTGGAAAGAGAGCTTCAATTTGTTGGGAGGCTTTTCAATAAATGTGATTTATCGTGTACATTTTCTCAGAAACTTATAAATTGCGTTAAGTAGATCAAATATTTAACTCAATCCAGACTGTTTGCCGCGCCTCCGGCCCGATTCAACCTATTTTTTTTTTAATTTTTCGTCACTTCGATTTTTTCATCTTATTCCATCCACACCACGAAAAGCTGTGAAAAAGTCACGAACCTAGTCGCCTTCCCTTGCATTTGGAAATGGTGGCTGTGTGGTGTTGTGGGTGTAGTGCGCGCTACTGTGCGGAAGGTCAGGGGTTCGATCCTTCTTGTGGTTTTCTCTTTTTTATCCTTTTTTCTTGCTTCAAACTAAAGATTTTCTTAAACTGCATATTGAAGCTTCAGAAATTTTCTACAAAGTAATAAAGTAATGTATGATTTTGAAAAATTAGGCCTGAAGCGGGTCTCAGGAGCACTAGCCCCTTAAAGGAGTATAACTTTGTTCAACTTCAATATTTTGAAATGAACTAAAAAGCAGAATGTAGCTATTTTAAAACTGTACAACATGATTTAGCATTCATTTATACTAGAATGTGTCAAGGAGTGACAAAAGACATTGAAACAGCAGGCGCTGCGATACCGAAGGGATATTAGACGCATAACAGCTTGTAACTCTCTTTGTAATTAACGTTTTGAAATTATCTAACTTGTGATATGTAGCTCTTAAAAAGCCCTACAAAATTATGTAAATATCATGAGTGTTAACATCAATTCAGACTAAGCCATGAACCGTCAAGCATCAGGGAGCTCGGTACACCGTCCTCGCAAAGGGGCACTGGTAATAAAACAGACAGCCATTCTTTTTTTTTGATAATTGGAATTTCGAAATAAATTGGAAAATGTAGATCTTGAAAAGCTCTATAACGTTTCGTCAACACTCCATAATTATGCTCGAAACTAATTAAAAAAATTGACACCTGACATTTTTAAAATTTCCAAACTTTAATTTTTTTTAGGTCAACCTAAATATTCTAGTGATCTTTTATTCTTCACTTTTCCGATTTTTTTTGAAACAAACACGAAAATCATATTCTTGCAAAACTACAAAATAAAAACCTCCGAAAAGTTTTGCTATAAAAATCTGGAAATATAAAAGAGAAAGCTTTCAGGACTTTGCATCTTATTTTTCCTAAAATGTTCAAAAAACATTTTCTCCTACTTTCCCTTTTCTTTGGAATCGTAGCAGCTGGCTTCTCATCGTCGTCTTCCAGTGAATCTTGTGAAGGTTCGTGTAGTTTGTATCTTTGTAGTTTGTAGTGTAGTGAATTTCAGATGACCATAGAGGAGGTGGTGGCGGAGGACGACCAAATGTAAGTAGGCTCAAATAAATTTGTAGTTTGTAGTCTGGATTTTAGGGTGGCTGTGACGCTGGATGGCGTCGTTTCACCCGTCCCAACGGCGGATGGTGTATAAGATCATTCGGTGGACGGCTGACACATGCATCCGCTGAAGCTCAATGTCAATCCTATGGAGCTACACTGTCGGGACTTCAGAATATGGAGGAGGCTAGATATGCGACTAGTGAGTGTAACTTTCTTCAAACTTACTATTCCAAAAACTAACTAACTTAAAAAAATGTAGGTCTTGAAAAGCGCTACAAACTGTTATAACATTCATAAATTTCAACATCAGTCTAGCTTTTCTCAGAGCCTGTCAACGGAGGGTATACTGTCCTTGCTGAGGGGCAGTAGTCGTAAAACATACTATAACTTTTTTCAGAAATCAAAATTTTGAAATGTTCTATAATGCAAAATTTAGTTCTTAAACAGTTCTACATATTGATATAAGATTTGTAAAAGTTAACATAAGTCCTGACTTGGTTAGGAACCGTCTAACACCAGATGATCCATACGAAGAGGGCACTAGTCATGAAACCAACTGTAACTTTCTTCAAAGTCAAAATTTTGAAATGATTCAATTGCAAAATGTAGCTGTTAATAAGTTCTACAAATTGATATAAAATTTAAACATTTTGCGCTACACTTACATTAGCTTGCGGCGATACAGCATAGAGGATGCACTTTCTCTTGCTAGGGGGCGCTAATTATTTGGTTGAGTGTAACTTCCTTCAAACGTTAAACATATAAAACGCAAAAATCGCAAAATGTAGCTCTTAAAAAACGCTATAATTTCATATAACATGCTGTTAATCGTTAGTCTGAACTTTGCCAGGGACCGTCCAACAAGGTAGGGTATACTGTTCTTGCCAAGAGGCACTAGTTATAAAACAAACTGTAACCTTCTTCAAGCTTAACTATTCTAAACAATCTAGATTGCAAAATAAAGCTTTTAAAAAGCTTTACAAACTGATATAACCTGCATTTGTGTTAACACGAGTTTAGACTAGGTCAGAGACCGTCAAACAACAGGGTACCAGGTACACTGTCCAGCATAAGGGGCAATAGTCATAAAACATACCGTAACTTTCTTCAAACTCAATATTTTTGAGCAATCTAAATTGGAAAATGTAGCTCTTCAAAAGCACTAACATTTAATATACCATCCATGTATGTTAAGATTAGTCTACACTTGATCAGGGACCATCAAACAGCAGGACGCCGGGTACACTATCTTTCCCGAGGGACACAAGCCCAACTTCGTTCAAACTCAATATTTTCCAACAATCTAAATTGCTAAATATAGCTATTTTTCAGACTCCGCCCTCCCTCTCATGTCCTCCTCATCCGGTTCCCTTTGGCTCGGTGCTCACCGTACAAACGCTTGTAACCGACAACGTGTAACCACCGAATGCACTCCCCAGAACTCTTTCCGTTGGACCGATGGCTCAACATCTGGAACTGCTGGATTCTTGTGGAGTCAAGCTCAACCGGATAATGCTTATGATCTGAAGCAGGACTGTATCATTATCCTAGCCGCTCGTGGTCCGCTTACGGTAAAGAATGTAGTTTGGCCGGAGAATCGATTGGATGACGTGGATTGTGCATTGGATTCGACTGAAGTGTCGCCAAGAGCCCTTGCTGGATATGTTTGTGGAAAGAAGGCACGATAAATTATGTCCAGAAGCATTTTGATAATAAATTTTGTTAAATAATGTATAGAACGTTTCAGGGATCTTTGAAGGAACCCCATAAAGTGGGCGGAGCCTAAGTTTGGGCTCATTTTGAAGCTCTTAATGAGTCTAAACAGGAGTAGGCTCTTTGAAGGTCATTGCTCGTCCTTAACACCAAAAAATGGAAATTCCCTTCTAGAATTTTCCATTAAGAAGGTAATGGGACCACATATACTCTTCTATTTAGTCCCCTAATCCTTCGTATTCTTCTTCATTTCCATAAGCTTCTTCTTCTTCTCCAAAATTCTAAAGAAAATAGGAAAATTTGCCTTTAGGAAAGAGGAATTAGAGAAAAATGGAAATTTGATGTGCTCCATTCTTTTTTCCTGAATTTTTTGACTTTTTGAAGGACTCATTTTCTAATGTAGATCAAATTTTAAAAAAAAGGTTAAAATAATGAAAGTTTGATCTACCAGCCAGTTTCTATGATTGTTTGGTCTTCTTTTTGGAATTTTTTGATACACACGTTCCATAATTCAACTCCCCCCCGACGACAGGAGAAGGTGAGGAAGCGGCACACTCTTATCCGCCTTGCTTACCTGCACCTAACGTTGTCTCCGTGGTGTCGGGGATGTGGTTGGTGCAATTGTGCGCAAGGTCGGGGGTTCGATACTTTTCGTGGTTATTTCTTTTTTAATCCTTTTTTTTTGGTTTTTTTGGTCGAAATACTTCAATGTTATTAATTTTTCGTAATTTTTTTGCACATTTCTGACCTATTTTCCAAAATCTAGTGATTTTTTTTCAGACAAAAGTAAAGTAAAACAATTCATGTTTTTCGTATAGAGATATACTCGAAAAAGTGTCCCATGAGTGTGGAGAAAATCGGATTAATTAGATTTAGCTCTTTAGAGAGGGAGATCTTCTCCTTATTAGTTTTACTCTTTTTCCCCCTTCTTCTCCAATTCTCTTCTTTTACTGAGGCTTTGAGAAAGGCTTTTTTGTAGTTTGTAGTCAAAAAAATGGTTTCATTTAAGGTTAAATGATCTATTCAAAGAAGCATAGTAGATACAGTACCCCTCCCTCAAGAGCCTAACTTGAGAATTCTCATTATAAAACTCCTTAATAACGGAAATGGTCCCATCCTAAACACTTTTGATGCTCATCCTCTAAATAGAAATGAGAAGATGTGTATGGGGTGTCACAATGTAATATCCGGCACTTCTTGGGAAACAACAATGAGAGGGGTAATTTAATTAAGTCCCCCCGCTATCTTGAGAAATGAATCCCAGGAGTAAATAACCAAGGAAAGTACATGGCCGCCGTCTTAGAAATTAGAAATTTTCCTTTTAAAAACTACTATTCTAACAACGGGTATTTTAAGTCTGAGCAATTTGAAATTTCGCTTTAAACATTGCTGTTATAATTTTATCAAGTTAGAGGTTTCTATCCAGGAAAAAAGTGTTTTAAAAACTCAGATTTGTATGCAATTTGTTAATATTGACCTATTTAGATACATCACCAATTTTTACAACCATCTGATTAGTTTCAGCCGAGATGTGATGATCTGAAATTGTAGTACGTAATTCCGTTGAAATGTTCAATACATCTCTGAACTTCCAACGACAAGACAAGCTTAGAAAACGGCACACACTTATGTGCCTTTCTTACCTCTTGCAAAGGCCGGCTGCGTGGTGTCGGGGATGTGGCGCACGGTACTGTGCGCAACGTCGTTGGTTCGATCCCTCTTGTGGTTTTTTCTCTTTTTAATTTTTTTTTGGTTTTTCGACCTTATTTTTCAAATCTAGCTTTTTAGAGAGTGTTCGAAGGAATTTCAAATCTCAACAGACTATAATTTCACTCTGATCTCTCTAATTTAAAGGGTTTACTGCAAGATAATTACGCTCAAAGATGTCTTCTCCAAAATTGTCAATTTCAAACGGTTTCCAAGAAAGAAAGCCAGAAAACACGATATTTTTTGAAATAAATATAGGAATAATTCCCAATGATTTGTATTTGTATTTGT